GCCGCGTGGTTCGATCAATCATACTTTGGGCAGGTCGAGGGCTACGACATTCAAACATCAAACAGGAACAATGGAGTGTGGTSAGTGGTCAGGATGTTATGAACTGATGATTGTCGATAGCTCCGATCGAACGCGCTGTGGCCAGTCACGAAACATAAACACCCCAACTGGCAGGCGTACGACCGATCCAGCAAACTGGTTGACAGGAGAGCGTTGGCACAAGTAACTGATTAGTTGATTGATCGACTTTTCGGTTTGCGGTTGGCCAATTAGCTGATTGATCGGCCGGTCGCCGACCAGGGCACCGACATGCCAGCCGAGTGGTTCACTTTTCTCGCCCCGATTGCACTCCATTCGACCTGCCTGCTCGTCCACTGGTCGTACGCAGCACGCAGCGCAATTGGTCCACCACACGGTAGAAACCCATGAAAAAGGTCAATCCCTATTCTGGAATGGACAATAGACAGTTTGTGACGACGTTGTTGCACATTGAACGTTGCTGGCCATCGAACCTTGTCGGCCATCGAACTTTGTTTGGCATCGAACCTGGCGCCCCATCAAACCTCGGCGGGCATCGAAATGTTGGCGGACATCGAACGCCACTGGACGACAAACCTCGTCGGTCATCGAACCTTGTCGGTCATCCAACGACGAACGTTTTGCAGCCACCACACGACAGCGGGGGACCTGTCAAAATGTGAAGTCCGCCRGGATCCGAACTTCAAGAAAGCACRGGAAGGCGAGTTTGAWAGACATCTRTGTCTCTCCCACGTAATCTCGCCAAGCTCGGATCCCGGTGGACCTCCGGTTCACRCCTTCCACAAGAYCCAACACGCGGTGCAACCCCWGCAGGCAACCGCAGYGGTGGACCTGTAAAAATGTGAAGTCCGCTGGAATCCGAACTTCAAGAAAGAGGGGAAGGCGAGTTTGATAGACAACTGTTTCTCTCCCACCGCATTTCACCAAGTACGGATCCCGACGAACTTCAGTTTCTTGCCTTTAGTAAAACCCAGCTCGAGTTGCCACCCCAGTGCACAACCAGAGCAGTGGACCTGTGAAAATGTGAAGTACGCTGGGATCCGAACTTCAAGAAAGAATGGAAAGGCGAGTTTGACAGACAACTGTTTCTCTCCCACGGTATTTCGCCAAGTACGAATCCCAGCAGGATTCAGGTTTTTGCCTTTCCTAAAACCCAACTGGAGTTGCAACCCTAGTGCACAACAACAGCAGTGGACCTGTCAAAATGTGAAGTACGCC